AGCATAAGCAACAATGTTAAATTTTGTCCCAAACCTTAGTGTCACCTNGGTTACAAGAAAACACCACATAGAGTCTCTCGAGTTTCCTTAGATATAACAAACACAGAAATAAATAACACAAAATAAATTGTAGCTATGTGTCGATTCCGCGCGACACGTCCGAACATGTAAGCTGAACAATAGTGTGGGGGGGAGTGAGTAATCAAGAGTTGCATAGCGCTCAAACAAAAGACGAATTGACGAGATTTGAAAATCGCGTAACTCTGGGTTCACGTAAGTTGAGGTATTACTGTACTTCAAATGAAAATTAAGCCAAATCAAAGCACAAAGGAACATTTAGACATCTTTGGAACACTTGATAAATGGCAGAAATTGATGCATGTGTTCCTGATAACTTTCTTTCCATTCTGATCCTTTGCAGATTTTCTGATGAGTATGAGAATTTTAGAGTAGCAATTGAAAGAAGTGATCAACTTCCTGAACCCAATATATTAAGAGTGAAACTTCTAGAAGAAAATAAAAAATGTGAGAGGGAAGATGATATAACAAGTAAGCAGACAGCCTTTGTGAGACACTCAAATGGGCCCACCAGTGGCCAAGCGGTCATCGTTCCCTGAACACTGGGAGTTCAGTCATGGGTTTGCATCTCACTCGGATGGGCTGGCCATGTGGAGTTTTCTGGGTTTTCTCCATGTCTCTAATGCCTAAATAGGAGCCAGTTTCCCTTAAAAAGACCTGCTGGAAGGCATCCCCCTAAACAGATTGCCCAAGTGTTGCATTGCCATAACTAAACAAACAGAGACACTCAAATGAAAATAAAGGTAAAGATCAACTTAACCCTAAGAAAAAAAAAGCAATTCTTTTTCAAATGTTATATTTGTGGCAAACAAGAGCACAAATCCTCTGATTGTTGATGGAACAAACAGAAAAGAAAACACGACACATCTTTAAAAGAACTTAACAAAATAGCAACAATAGCTACATTTGAATCTTGTGGATCTTTATCTCAAACCCTAAGAAAGGAGGAATACTAAACCAAATGATCACCATAATTAATTGGGCTAATATTACGCTATAATTAATAATTAGAAGCTAAGTAATTTGATACTAGAAGTAGACATTAGGTGACATCTCTTATCTAAATTAATAATTATAATAATTTAATAATTTATTAAATAATTCAGAACATTCTGGAAGAAAAGAACTAGCCTGGAGCAGACTTAAACCCACAACCTCTACCAACCATGAATAGTTATATCTAAATTTAAATATGTCTGGAAACAAAGACTTGCTAGGTTGGCATAACTGACAAGCATACTGCATGGTAAGCGGAGAATGCGGGCAGGAGAAGATCTAGGGTTTTTGGAGCCTAGGACTTATTGAAGTCCAATGGGGTCCCAATTTTTGTAAATACTAATAATACTATAAATTATCATTATTAGTATATTATTAATATTAACTATTTTTTACTATATGATAAGTGCTCATTGTTAATGAAAAAGTATTAAAAATTTATAAAAATTCAATTTTTGTGGACCCTTGACACTTGGGAGTCCAGGGCTTAAGCCCTATTAGTCCCTATGTAGATCTGCTCCTGGTTGCAGGTTTAAGTCCTGCTCCAGGATAGTTCTTTTCTTCCCAANAAAAAAAAACCATCAATATTTATATTAGTAACTGATGCCTCCTTGTCCGACGGCATCCTTCGAAACTATTTTCGACAATCTGGCTGACTATACACGCCGTGAATGTTGTACATTGAATCTTTATTAATTTACACAGAAACATCCTTTAAATGTCATTCTGAATATTTTGTAATTTAAAGAAAAACTCACTATAAAGGATGTAATGTTTATTGTTCCCATTAAATGGGATATATCTTTTTTAGAAACGAATCATTTTTTTAATATCAACAAAATAAAAAAAATTTTTAAAGCCATTTTTCGAATATATTATTTTCTTGCCTCAAAGTGTCTCTTAAAAAGTTGTCTATCACAATAATTTATCTTATGTGCAAATACATTATTCCTATTTTTAACAACTGATACTAAAAGAACATTTGAAGTAATGTGAAATATCATTATTATGTCTGCCAGGTATAAAAAAAAAAAAAAAAAAAAAATTAAAATTAAAATCTGTCCCATCTGCTGGCAAGATAATGCTGAAAACTTTGCAATTGCTTATTTATTTGTTTGCAAATAAAATTAATAATAAAAAGTTGATTTATTATCAAATCATTTTTTCAAAAAGTACGGATTGCAAAATTGGGAATCAACTTATATTAAGGCTAATATGGTAACTACTAACTCTAGCAAAAAATAGTATATAATTGTACTGTGAATATTTGATGTAAAAGTGAAAAGCATTTGAATCAATTCATAACTTTATGGATTTACATTACAAAAGCTTAGTCTTCTGACCAAAACCTGTTACATCTTTCTACCAGAAATATAGAAAACCATCTCAGAGAAAATCTACCAGCAAAATGCATCTATTCATGTCAGAATATAACGCATAGCATTATATTCTGACATTATAACGCATAGCATTATATTATAGCACTATATTATATTCATGTAGTCAAACACAAAGGCATTGCAGCAAGTATTTAATCCCTTTGCACAATAAATGCTTTAAAAATATTGTAAAAATAATATGGTTTGCTTTCAAATTTGATAATTATTAATAAAAGATTGTGTTTGTTCTGCCACCATCTTTCTGTAACTAGCTGCCTAGTGGGTTGTTTCTGACTCACATAATATATATGTTACAGTCAAAACCCGTTTTATTTAGAACGCGTTTTAACTAGTTGAAACTAGTTTATACTGATTGTCTTTGTTAAGACTTGTTTTGTCTAGTTAAAACTAGTTTTAACTCAAATTCATTTTTGACTAGCAGTAAATTCTAGTTTTAACTAGACAAAACCGGTTTTGTCTAGTTAATTTACTGCTGTACATGTTTTGACTTTAGATAAAACTAGTTTTAACTTTTAACATTAGTTAAAACTAATTTTAGCTACATAAATATGTTTGGGGGAAATAAAGTTATGTATAGTGATT